TCTAGGAGAGAAAACAAGAGTGAGCTCAGCACAGTCACACCTCCAGGTTGTTCAGAAGGGACCATCTCCAGGGTCAGGGATTGTGTCTCAGACTGGTTAAAACCCTGCTGCCAGTAACACTTGAGAAAACCCTGTGGTGTGGCCAGCATGGTGCAGCCCCAACCCCTCCTCACAGAGATCCCCCTGGGCCCCACCACTTCCAGGATCTGGACACGGAAACTTCAAGTGTAAGTCTTGTCCAAGAGAAGGCAAACCCTTTCCTCCTACTGCAGAGCTCTGATTTTGTAGGTACTCAGGATTTATGCAGCTCTGTCAGAAACATCATCAAGTATCAGGAAAAAAAATACTTTTTTCTGTGAAAGAACAGCTCTGTCACATCAGTGCAATGCTGTGCCAACTGAGAGCACAAAGCAAAGCCAGTGCCTTCACACTGATGAGCTTCATCACATAGGCTTACTATATCATAGAATGACAGAATGGTTTGGGTTGGAAGGGACCTTAAAGACCATCTCGTTCCAACCCACGGGCAGGGACACCTTCCACTAGACCAGGTTGCTTCAAACCCCATCCAACCTGGCCTTGAACACCTTCAGAGAATGACCAGCCACAGCTTCTCTGGGCAACCTGTGCCAGGGCCTTTACCACCCTCACAGTGAAGAATTTCTTCCTTGTATCTAACCTAACCCTACTTACCTAGTCCATTCCCCCTTGTCCTCTCACTCCATGCCCTTGCCAAAAGTCCCTCTCCAGCCCTCTTGTAGGCTCTCTTCAGATGCTGAAAGGTCTCCACAGAGTCTGTGTTTGAGAGAGATGGTTGATGCCCAAAGCCTACTGGTGTTTAAGAGGCATTTGGAAAATGCCCCTAATAACATGCTTAAACTTTTGGTGAAGTGATCAGGCCATAGGACCAAATGATTGTGGCAGGCCCCTTTGAACTGAACTATCCTATTTTCTCCTGTTAAGTATCTGCTACCAAGGGCAAGAAACCTCTTTCTGTAGACTTCTAAATGTATGTATCTATACACACCTGAGTATAAGTATATGCTTTGGGCTCAGATAGCGGGAGCCTTTGGTGCAGGTTCAACAGCTGGCACTTTGCAGAGAGGCTGGCAGCTGGCATGGGCTGTGGGTGTCTGTGCCAGCTCAGCACCATCCTTGGCAGCTCTCACAGCAACCAGGGTAAAGCCCTTTTCATGCAAAACAAATCTGATGCAAAATATGTGTTTGTTATTCAGAAGCAGCTGTTTTGAGGGCTGGTTCCTAACCTTTGCATGTCCATGCAAACCTCAGTGAGTCGTACAGATACTTGGTAGCAAAATATTCCCAATATTTGCGTGTTAATAATATTTCCATGTTGATACATGTAATATTTCCATGTGGATGCAAACAGTCCTCAGCACAGAGCAGTTGCCCAGCCTGGGCAGGCAGGTAGTTCATGCAGCTGGCAACACCTGGGGACAGACACACATCATTCAAGGTAGTGCTAGATGGGGCTGAATTAGGATTTAGGAAGGATTTGGATACTCATAGCCCTGTTTACATATGCTCATCAGCCCTGCATTTGGCACAGACCCTCAGATTTAAAAATGCAAACTCTACATTTTCTCTCTTTTTGCATGACAAGCAAATACCCCAAACTGACAAAATATTCCTCATATTTATATACCACAGACACTGCAAGAGGAGTGCAGACCTGCTCTGTGCTGTGCAGCAAATGTGCAGGCACACATTTCATTCCCTGTCTGCAGCACACGTCGGTACTGCCCTGCTGCTGACACTGCCTGACCACCTCTGGGACCTTCTGCACATCTGAAGGAGCAGAAGGTAATCAAAACTAATACTATAAATGCCAGCTATTCCAGCTCCAAGGTTGCTGGTATGAGGAGGTGAAGGCACTGCAGTTGTCACAGTGATAAACTCTTGGCTGCCCACAGGCTGTGTTATGGCTGTGAGGTGATTGCAAAGGCTTTGTGTGCCTTATAAAATGTCCTAGGCATGGGCATTCAAAGCATCTTCTCAGTTAAGTTCTCCCAGCCATGCTCCTAGATGAGCCGTGCTGCTGTGGGGTGAGTCAGGCCAGCCTATGGCTCTGAAAAGCACCTTAAATCAGTCATTCCAACTTAAATCAGTCATTCACCTCAGAAAACCCTTCATCAGCTACCTGAGCCGCCCTAGGCTGTTGCTAAGGTGTCTCAGACGAGGATGCCAATCATCCTGTCAATCAGCTTGTTAATCATTCTCCCAGGAGACTCTGTCTGCCACAGGCATCACCCATCGGCATCGTCCAGGCAATTCCCCTACCCTTGCTGTCACTTCACTGCCATGGCCCTCATGCACAGCCAAGTGCACAGCAAATGCTACAGATTTGACAGGAATTACTGGTGAGGTTCATGCAAAAAGGACAGCATTGAATAGGTAAGTAATTGCTATAAATGATTCATCAAGGGAGAAAAGCCTGCAGACTTTCACTCTCTAGCTTAGACAATATTTACCTGTGCTGGTATAGAAACGAAGCCTGCCAAGAGCTGAGACCAGTATAAAGAGAAACTCCACTGGAACAGAGGGCCCCATTCTCAAAGGACTGGCAAACCTGAGCTTTACTACAAAGCCAGGGCCTAGATAGTAAAGACCCTACTTAGCAAAGCTTAGGTACCACCTGCTGGTTGTTTAAATGTCTTTAAACTGAGTGTCTAAGGGTAAGAAGAGCTGATACTCCTGTGTGGAAGGAAGCTAGTGAGTAGCGAGGGTTTGGACAGGTCAGCTCCAAAAACAGTGAGGCTTTAGCTCTAAGGTGTCCCTGGCAGTGTTCAAGGCCAAGGTGCACAAGGCTTGAAGCAACCTGGTCTAGTGAAAGGTGTCCCTGCCCATGGCAGGGGTTTGGAATGAGATGAACTTTAAGGTCCCTCCCAAGCATTCTATGATTCTGTGTTGGGTGGGCAGGTAAAATGGAAAGGTTCCAGCAGCTTTCGTAACAGCCAGAGCTTAGAAACCAGAACCTGTGTCTGCCCTAGAAATTTTTTGGGCTTTGTATAGGGGGATTTTGCACAGTTTGGGTGTCTTTTCCTACGGAAGGACACTGATGCTGTGTGAAGGTAAAAGGTGGGCATGGAGCATTTCATCAGGAAACAACAGCTGTAGAAGTACAGCTAAAGGACAGCAGCACCTACAGAAAGGTTTATGTGGATTAAAGAAAAGTGGCACTTGGTAGGCACTGGCCTCCTTAGACATTTGCTCAGTCACCATGCCTGATTTTTAACTTGGCAGCTCTTGTGCTGCACTGGCAAGCTGGAGACTTTGAGCTGGGTATGTGTCCATAAAAAAAAGTCCAGGATATACATGGTGCCAAAGTAGTCTTGAAACTGTGGCAGTGGTAAAAGAGATGCCAGTGAAGGACTATGGCAGGACTGTAAATTAACAGAAAAACACATGGGAGAAAAAGATTTAGAGAGCTCTCAGCATTCCAGGGTTTGGCATGTGCTGGTTTCACAGGCAGTGTATTTAAACACCAAGTAGTGTGTGAGACTGTGGATTGCACTGAACACCTGGTTGGCCTCTGGTGATCTGTCCCACTGCTTCAGAGAGATGCAGGTATGGGACACAGCTCAAACCTCTGGAGTACAGCATCCTAATCCAGGGAAACAGCTTTGCAAGGATGAAAATATCTGTGAGCCAAACCAGTGGCTGAAAAACAGGAATGGTAATTGGGAATCTTCTAAAAGCATATTTCTCATGGCAAGCGGTGCCACAGTGGTAAGTGTAAACAGTTAAGACAGTAAGGAGTTTCCCAAAATTTGGGATTAATATGTGGCCATCCTATTAACAGAACAAATGGTCTAATTTTCAATAAATATGTAAAAAATACAATAGCTCTTTTCTTTACTATAAGAAAAGCCAGATGATATACATATATATATATACGCATACAACTGCTGAAGGGCTGTTCTTAAACAATTCAACCTGCGTATGCAGCACTCTCTAAGGGGTTAATCTTTGCCGGCTGTTGCTCTCATTTCTGTTGCTTAACACTCTCTTTGTAATATCCTTACAAAAACAATGATGTCACGAAGTGGTAACGCTTTTGAAAACATACCAAGGCAAACCACAGGTGGCAGTGGAATAAAAGAATTTCTTCTCAATGACTTCCCTGTGACAGACCCGTGTTTGCTTATCTCCCACTGCTCGTGTGTGACAGCTTTAATAGGCTTTAGGTGGACAGATAAGTAACACCCTGTGTTTATTCTGTTCCTTTATAAGAAAGTTTGTTTAATTTTCACTGCTGGAGCCCCATCCACTGCCGCAGTGGGACCTGCCGTCGCTACTCACTTTTCCAAGAACTTGGAGCACTCCTGGTGACCGTAGATTTCCGCAAGCCTCTTGGGAGTGTCGCCAAAGAGGTCTGCTGCATCCATGGCAGCGTGCAGGGAATGGAGGGTGCGGAGCACCCTCAGCCTCCCCGACTCGGCGGCAAAGTGAGCCGCGGTCCAGCCCACGTCGCTCCGCAGGCAGTGCCGGGCGCCGTGATCCACGAGGAGCTTGACCAGATCCGACCGCCCTTGAGGTGGGCAGCAAAACGAGGAGAGAACAGGCAACTGCATCAGAATTTGTACCTTCAAGGATGCAGGAGACAGTCACACACAGCTGATCATAATTCCCTCGGCAACAGATTTTTACCCACGACCTGACGATTTGTTTTATCATATAAATGATGCTCAATAGAAAACGCTGGTTGCTTTTTCCCAAACCAGACTGCTTCCAGAAGAACTTTACAACAAAAACAACTATTAGATCAAAAAGCTTTCTAATTTCTGAGCAGTATATCTCAATTAGTCATTGACCAATTGGCTATTTCTTTGTTACATTTTGCTTTAGTTCATTGCAATATAACATTTAAATGTAAAGAATGGGAAAACCTGTGAACAGCTTTACTAAAACAAAGGTGTTTTTGGATAGGAGGTAAAGAAAATACTTGTTTTCATTGACCTTCTCATTTTTCTAACCTGGAGAATTGCTTAGAGAAGCAAAAAATTATTTCTAGCCCACTTCACACTGCCTTGATTGAGCTAGATCATTCCAAACGGCCGCTAGGCAATGTCAGTCTCTCATTATTTTCTTAAGTAGCTCAGTTCCCTTTGCTGATGCCTAAATGCATAATAATCCATCAGGGCAAAAGAAAAACATGGTCTCAAGTTTCAAACAGCAAATTATACACTTAATTTCTAAGTAAAGACAGATGCCATGACATGAGATCCCAGTGTGTAACAAATGCTGCAGCATGGAGGAATAGAGGTCCAGTTTCCCCTTTTTACACTGTGTACAATTATGCATTACATACTGTTGCATCATCTCTTTTTTGAGATGTAAAGGGATATTTGACTTTAACAGACACTTCTGAAGGGGAAGTACCAAATGGGAGCTGCAAACAGCTCTGGTCCTGCGTTGCTCACTCAAGCAGGTGAGAAAAAGGGAAAGCAATGTAAAACACAGTTATTATTTTGTTCTATTGGGTTTGATAAATACCTGGTATAAATACAGTGGGTTTTACTTTCTGCTCATTCACACAGGTGTGCACAAGAAATAACTTCTTTGCACTGTATGGAGTCACCTCTTAGAAAAGTAAAGTGGGGGACAAGCAGCCGTGCTCTATGTACCTACCATGTAAATTACAAATTTTCATGTGATGGAAGGAAAAAAAAGCTAAAAATCACTTTGATGGCAATCCCATGAATTATTTAGCCGAGGGTGCCCTCACCTTTGGCAGCAGCCCAGTGCAGTGGGGTCCTGTCGTGCCAGTCGACATCCTTGTGGTTTGGGTCGCAGCGTCCTGCCTTCAGAATCTTCTCCACCAGGTCGTAGTCCCCCAGAGCCACAGCTTCGTGGAGCTCTGTCATGCTGCACCCTTCAGAAGGATGCCTGGCAACAGAGCAACAGGTGTTTGGTGGGTGTTCACCGATGTATCAGCTCTTCTCAGGGCAGTTTTAATAGATCAAGCAGCACCTGGAATAAAAAAAGAGACAGGAACTGTGAGAAACCAGGATTTAACTGAAAATAAGGGAAAAGGAATGAAAGGGGGAAAGTAATTATAATTTATCTTCAAACCGGTGATCACAGACTGATGGTGACCTTTGGTCTGTAGTCATGGGAATCTGGAGCAAAGTGCAGCCCTTTATATAAAGGATTTATATAAAGGACTTGTAGCTAAAGCCTTTCTGAAGGAAGTTGCTGCTAAACCCAGCTCACAGGGAACATTTGCCCCGGGTCTGTTGTGCTCACTAACCATGGAAACTGGCTCCTCCCTGGCCAGTGCTGCAGGCCTGTTACTGGTATCATTTTATTGCAACAACAGAAACAGGCGTGCAAGTATCTTCTCTGATGTTCTTTGGTGCAAATAATAATAAGAGATAATAATAAGAAGAACAAAACTTGCAGAAAAAGAGATAGGCAGAGAAGCTGTGGCTGCCCCATCCCTGGCAGCGTTCAAGGCCAGGTTGGGTGAGGCTTGGAGTAACCTGGTCTAGTGGAAGGTGTCCCTGTCCACGGCAGGGAGTGTGAATGATCTTTAAGGTCCCTTTCAGGCCATTCCATGATTCTAGAAAATAATTGAACTATGGCCCATTGTTTAACATTCTCATCCACAGTACCATTCAAAAGACCCCCATCAAGCAGATCTCCAGCCCCTGCAAGGCTTCAGATTTCAGTAGTTATACCTGTGCTAGGGGGTATTTCCCAGCTGCTTTGCTGGCAGAAGCAGATTGCGAGGATCACTAGGTTACTTCATCATCCTGAGAGAATGGAAACTGCAATATTTTCCCCAGTCTGGTCAAATCAATGGGGAGAAAACTTCTTATTTCCCATATTAATAGATGGTCTTGAGCTAATTAGTCCCATCACCCTGATAAACCAGAAGCATTTTAAGAATTGCTCCAGCTTCTGCATTGCATTTACGTCATGGAGAAATTTTCACAGCTTTGAAATGAGTGTGATTTTCATGTTCAGCATGTTGGAAAGGACCAACATCTGAGTTTGCAGAGGCTGATTGTGAGGGAAGGTTTGCAATCCTAAGGGCTACATCCTGAGCCAGAGATGGATGGGGCCATTTTTCTGCTCCCAACTCCCATAAACATACCAATCACATCCCAAGTCCAAGCTGGAAGGACATAGAATCATCTCCACCCTGCTTTTTTGTAAGAAAAAGATGAAGTACAAGGGTCAGAGGGATTCACAGCCTGCTTCAGTCTTAGGTGGTTGGACTGAGCAGACAAGATCCAAAAAAAAAAGACCCATACCTGTCTTCTACTGAGTTTGACTTCTGCATGTCTGGGAATATCTGAACATTAAAAAATAAATTTTGGAGCTCCTAGTGGGCCACAGACATGTTGGCTTTGACATGTCTCTGTTAGTTCAATCACTTGTGCACTGCCTCCTCCTCCTCATTGCCTCTCACTAGTCTTGAAAAACCTGTTCCTTTAGATTAAGCAGAGATGTTCTGAGCTGTCCTCCAAGATTTCAACAGCATTAAATCTATCCTGAAAATGTCACATTTTAATGCATCCAGCCCATCACTGAAATGAGGGCTGGAACAAAGAACAGGAAAAAAAACAAACTCATGGATCTTTTCATACAACTTTCTTATTCCTTTCCAGCGTCAGATCATACCTACACATAGGCATGCAAAGGGAGAGGAACACAAGCCACTGATCCCACTCCAGTTCACCAGCTCTCCAAGGGGACAATCCATAGGACACCTTCATAAGTGATTCAGGCCAAGCCAAATTTTTCCTCCCCTGCTGCTTCCCTTGAAGCTCATATGGCGTTTAGTAGCTGCTCATCTCTCATAAAATTAATCTTTTAACTGGTGCTGGTTTTAGGGTTAATTCCCTGAATTCAGCGTTACCGAGGGGGCAAATGCCAGGGCTGTGCAAAGGGTGGGGGGTGAGTTCAGATCTGCCCCCCCAGTGGGGACCTGTGCTCAGTCCGCTTTAAACCGCTCGAGAAGTTGTACCCAAAAGCGGGACATGTTTCCCTAGAGTGTGACTACCCCCTTCTCCTAAGGCCAGAGGAAAAGATTCGGCTTTTTACGGAGCGACCTTGAGCCAAAGCTCCCCCGCAGCTGGTCCCCCCCCTCCTCGTCCAGCCACAGCTCCTCCGCGGGATGTTGCAACCCATCCGGGGGAATTTTCTCTTGGGGTTCCTGGTGCTTGACCCAGCCCCGCTCCGCCACGCTCGGCAGCACCGCCGGGACATCCAGAATCCATATATATGATCCCGTCCCTGCCACACGGAGGCACAGCCCGTCACCTCGGCGGCCGCGGGGTCCGCCGGGACGCGCAGTCTTTGCTTGGGATGGCCCCGTGCCAGGAACTTGTTTTCCAGGCCCAGGGGAGATTTCTCCCGGGACGATTGTCTCAGCTGAAAACTAAAGCAAAGTTTGGTCCCTCCCCTTCGGGCAGAGCCCGGCAGTGGCTCTGCCTGCGGGACAGACCTCCTCCCGTGGGAGCAGCCGCCGCTCGCCCGGCTCCGCAGGGCTCTGGGTGGCCGTCCTGCCCCTCTGGACGGCGGGACAGGAGCACAGGGCGACCGGGACACCGCACACCAGGTACGGGAAGCACCGGGCGCTGCTCGAGGGCACAAAAAGGGTCTGGGGAGAGCACGGGGAGGAGCGACGGGGGCGCGAGGGTGATTTTAAAGAGCTGGGTGGTTTCAGCGCAGCCCCTCACACAGGTTATCGGCGCTCCCCTCTCCCTGGGCTCAGCCGGCTCTTGGAGGAAGCCTGTTCCCAGTCCTCGAGGGATCGCGTTTCTCCACTTCCTCCCTTCCAGCCCTTTAGCTGGCCCCAAATCCCTGTGCGTCCCCGCGGAGGGGTGGGATTCACTCCGGTGGACATGCCCCTTCGCCGCTGAGTGTAGGGCGAATTTTCCGCTGGGGAAAAGCAACTCCCTTCCTGACACGGCTGACACGTGCCCGGCCTGGCAATGGGAAGCAGCAGTGCCAGGCTGCAGAAGGGGAAACTCAGTCTAGATGGAAGGGGAAAAGTTAATTCACAGCGAGGGTCGGAGACGTGCAGACCCGAGGCGTGTCCTGCTTTGAGCAGGGGCTTGGACTGGGTGACCTCCAGTGTCCTTGCCCACCTAAATACTTCTGGGAGGTTGAGAGGGACAGAGCTGGAGGTTTTGGGTGCTCTGCCAGCACGGCATTCACCTCCCACACACGCAGCATCCCAATACCTGCACGGGACCCTGCGCCCCAGCTGCTGTTGGAGCTGGTGGGGAGAGGGATGGTGGTTTCAGGACATGGGTTTCCTGGTGTGTTTAAAGCTTGATGAACTCAGGGGTGAGGTGGTGGACTGTTGGACGTCAGGACAGCCTGCCTGGACTTTACCCTGTGACACAACCATCCGAGCCTCTCCAGGAGCAGCAGGTGGTGGCTCCTCCAGGTAGTGACTGGGGGTGGTGGTGCTGCCTGGGCTTGCACTTACCAACCCCACTGACATGTTTAGAGCAGCCAAGAAGCTGTTGTGACTTACACACGAGATCCTCTAACAGGCACCTCAGGAAACGGGAGATACACCAAGCTCCATCTCCGATGTCATTAGTGGTTGGCCTATCCTTTCTCTGCCTGCTGGCAGTGAAACATTTTATCTCTTCAAAATCAGCTAATACCATGGAGAAAGGGGCTGTTCTCCATTGCTTGCAGAGAAGTGAGAGGGGATGCTCCTCCTCCCGTGGGACATATACTTGGATTTAGCTCTTGGATCCAGAAACTCCAGTTTATGGAAAGACTGACCCCAAGTGCCTCCTCCATCTGACTGCAGAGCTGCTTCCTGCTGCTTCCACCTGACATCCCCATGCCCCAGCCACACAGCAGACAGGTTTCTCACCACTCAAGTCCTGCTGCAGGCCCAAACCAGCAAGCAAAGGGTAGTAAGTTTTTTAAGCCTTAAAATGGGGTATTTAAAAGCAGGGACAAGAGCTGGGGCTCTCAGGTAAATGCTGTCATAATGCTTACATGTAATTTTTCCCCCAGACCTGTGAATATTGAAATGTTTTGGTATCTGGAGTAGGGACTAAGGTGATCCCATGCCGTGGTGATGAGAAATGGCTCTTTGGTTCAATCTGCAGTGCCAAATCAGGTGAGGGATGTGCTTAAAACAGATTAATCAGAGCTCAAGAAGGGGACAGTAGCACCTTTGACCACTGTGGAATATCTATCTCACTGGGGAGTGCTACTGAGACGAGCCTGGGAAAGTGCCCTGAGATGAAGGCTGTAAAGCTGTGGCCTAACCCAGGATGCAGGACTCTCATGTGAAAACTTGGGAATTGCCCAGCTCCACCTCTGATTCTCTCAGTCTCCATTTCTGATCTCGATAAGGGGGACGTACCAACCTTCCCCAGCCTCTGTGCTCATGGGGATGTGCTGCCACTGAATTACTGAGGTCAGCACTAAGCCACACCAAGATGTTGCATGGAAGCAGCCTTTAAAACATGCAGCATGCTTGTTTACTGGGAAAATAAATGGCTCAAATCAGTGAAAAACCCCACACATTAGCATTTCAGTGACAGCCTCAGCCTTTTACACTCTGCAACACAAAAGGCGCCAGTGTCAAGGACTCTTTCCTTCAGCTCCCTCACATTCCTCAGGCTCAGCTCCCCCGCTTTGGCAGCCTTCAAATAAAGGAAAAGCCAAGGTCAGGAGAAAAAAAAATTAAAAGGAGAAAAAATAAAAAGGAAAAAAAAAAAAAAAGCCAAACCACAAATCTAAAACCATAGGCCCTGGTAAAACCTCCCTTCCCGGTGCCCAGTACCCAAGTGAGATTTCCTGCTCAGGAACTGCTCGCCATTTGCCAATTGTTTTCACACTTCCTAGAGCCCCCTGAAGCCCTTTCCACCCTTGCTGGAGAAGCTGGCACATCTGCAGTCCCCAGCTGCTGGGACAGACACTTGTCAAGGTGACAATGATCAGGTTTTGTCAGGCACACAGAGAGCTTGCTCCAACAGCAGCACCACCATCTTCTGTCCTCCTGCATCAGCGACTTTCCACAAGACTCATGGTGATGTTGGGCCCCCTCAGGAACAGCAGGCCCACTTCAGAAAGTGCTGGGAAGAAGCACAGTGACACCCAGGACCCCATCCTGCTGCATAAGCTCTCGCGCTGGAAATCCCTGGAGCACTGGAGGGGAGTTTGCAGGATTGGGCCCAAAAAAAGCTCCATGCTGGATCATCCCCTAGTGCCAGTCCACACAGACCCATGGAAGCTGGTGCCTATCTATACTGACATTGGATCCAGCCTTGGAATTTAAAAAAATCCTCTGTGTTTATCCAAGTGTTGGGAAAGGCTGTCGGAGCTGCTTCCTGTGCCCTTTCAATCCCCAGCTCCGGAACCGCTGTGGGAACCGCCCTGCAGCAGCCACAGCACATCAGCTCTGGTAAACAACCTCAAACCCACAAACTGAAGGCAAAACCACCATGAGACACGAGAAAGCCATCATCTCCCTGGCTGTATTCACCATCAGGAACAAGGCCAACTTCCATTTTACCTGTTTGTCACACCTGAAGTGGACCCAGCTCTCGTCTGAGGCATGTGAGGACTCCAGCTGTTAAAAATTGAGGAGCAGGACACTCATCTCAGGCCTCAGCTACTGTACAGCCAGCACAGCTCTGAGACTCCAGACTTAGAACACACACAGAGACATATAAACCCACAGCCTGATTTCTTAGGGCAAGAATTTGATTTCTAGTACCACAGGAGGAGAGCAGGGCTGATGGATGCTGTTATCCCACAGTATCTATAGGGAAATGAATTCCCAGTGCTTACCTTAAAAGCCTACAGGGGCTGGGTCATTTCTCTTCTGCTGCAGATGCTGGAGGTGCACAGATGAAGGATGAAAAGCTGGTTTAATACAAAAAGAATGAGCTAATGATGTAAACTACAGAGGCTGACAGGCTGGAGGTTTGATATTTCCTTTCCTGCTGTTCCTTCGAGGGCTGGACACACTGGGCAGAGCAGCAGTTTAGCATCTGAGTAGTAAAATATTCTGCACAGTCATTGTGTTGTTATTCAAGTTCCCCAAAAGAGTAAAGAAGAGCAAAAGCACCATTTTTATCTGTACCTGAATTGGGCACCTGAATTTCCCAAGAAATAATGACATTGTTCGAGAGGAAAGCTGGGAAGGTGTTTAAAAGTCAGGCTTCAGGTGCAATATGTGTTTTCAATTTGTATTTCTTACCATGAGCAAGGTACATTTGGTGTCCTTTCCTTAATATCTATTATTGCTTTATAAATTAATGTTCTGCTTAATACAGCTGGCTTATGAGACGGGTAGAAATTTTAACATTTAATTTGCCTTTTAAAAAGCAGCCATAATATGACAGTCTCTGAAACCTCTAAAACACCCCTCACCTGCACATCTTTCTGTCACATTAAAGCATACAGACCCAGAGCTTCAGTGGCAGCTGAACTCCAGCCCTTTGGATTTGGGATGGGCAGTCACAACTCTGCTCCTAAACCTAATGCCAAATCCTTTCATAGTCCTGGGTAACGGAAAGAAAGCACTACTAACAAAAAACACTTTAGAATTCAGTAATAGCCTTGTAGCTGTCAAAAAAAGAAAAGGTTATGTAAGTTACATAAAAGACCTCAAATTTAAACAACAAGTTCTACAGAGTGACAAATGTGGCTTGCTAGAATAATTAAAAATCAGAACAAACTCTCAGAGAAACTATATTATAAAATAGTCCACACATTTCTCCACCAACTTACAAAAAAACAGCTTTATTTTTTTCTGTTTTTTAATGAAAGAGAAACAAAGTTCCCAACAGTCTCAGAAAGCCTAAGGTTCCCGTTGAGTACCAGTTTTTGTCTGGCTAATGTGCTAAATGCAGCAGTTCCCCCCAGATTTGCAGTTATGGTTAGGTCAGCTTTTGCTCCAACGCCTCCCCAGTTAGATCTTGCTCTGTAAATGATCCCTAAGTGTCAGCTGGAGACCCACACAGCAAAGACACAACTCAGCACATCAAACTTCCCTTTACATCTTCACATGAAAATAAAGTTGGCTTTTTTTTTTTCATTATTCCATTTTTGGCTAAAGCTTTAACAGTTCCAGAACCGCAGTATTTGGCCTCCTTGTTTACTGCTGACCCCCAACAATCCCCACATTTCCCCTATATACATGTTGCTTGGTATCAAGGGGAAACCCTTCCACAAGCAGCAACTCTGAATCCTGTGCATCCAAGAGCTGAAGGAGGAACCAGCAGGGCAACCTCTCAAAAAACAGCAGCTGAGCTGCCAGACACAGTCTTAAATCAGCCACTTGGCCAGGCTTAAAACCCCTTCCAGCAGCTGGTATTTGCTGCCAAGCACTTAAATCTGACCACATCCTCTCCTGCAATTGGGCAGAGACTTTTTTGGTAAAGTAAGCACTTTTGCTTTATTGGATGTAAGGATGATGGAGCTGGGCTGTAAGGATGGAGATGGGCACGATGGAGCTGGGGTGTAAGGATGGAGATGGGCACGCTGGGATGATGAAGCTGGGCTGCTGTGATGACCACAGAGCTGGGCATTCCAGGGATGATGATGGAGCTGGGCACACCAGGGATGATGATGAAGCTGGGCCACTGGGTGACGATGGAGCCACGCACGCCAGGGATGCTGGCACTGAACACACCAGGGACAACAACGGAGCTGGGCCACTGGACTCATTCTTGAAGCGGTGGATGTGGAAGGGAATATTTTCCGCATGGATGAGTGGAGCCATTAGCTGTGAAGGGGAGCCAGGAGGGTGGCAATACCACAATGGAAGCGCCGTTTCCTTCTGGCTTCCTTTCCAGGTGTATCTGGAAGGGGTGGGTGAATATCCAGCGGTGGCATCACTGGTGTCTGTGTGTGTCCCATACACAAACAGCGGGAGCAGCCCTAGGCAGCCAGGTCGAAGTCGTCGCGCTCCTGGTTGTAGTCGAGCACCTTCTGCCGCAGGCGCGAGGCGTCCACCCAGGTGATGAAATCCTCGACGGCGCGGGGGACGAGCAGCGCGGGGTCTGTGACCACCTCGGGCCCCACGCGGACGTGCCCCTGCTCCACGAAGGTGACGGCGTGGCGCAGGTTCTGCGCCATCCGCAGCTTCACCAGCAGGCAGGGCAGGCGCCGGCGGCAGAAGGCGGCGGCCGAGAGGCTCTCGCAGACGGCCAGCGAGTGCCGGCTGCTCACCAGCCCCAGCCCGTGCAGCTTCTCCAGCAGCGCGGCGGCGCAGCGGGCGCGGAACGCGGCGCTGGCCGGGCCCAGGTCGCGGAGCCGCCGGGCCAGGGCGCGCACGGAGCGGGCCAGCGCCTTGTACTGCACGTAGTCCTCCCGCCGGCCCAGCCGGTACCGCCGCAGCGCCCGCACCTCCGCCAGGTTACCGCCCGACGCCTCCCAGTTCACCAGGTCCAGCCGCCGCAGCAGCTTCTGCTCGTGGTACTTCAGTTTCCGCACCATCTTTGCGGGACTCGGGCTGGCCGCGCCGCCGGCTGCGAGAGGGGCCTTTCCGGGGAGGAGCGGCCGCCCTCACCGCGGTTCTTCCGGGGAGGAGCCGCTGACACCGCCGGGGCAGTGAGTCCCGCCCCGGGAGTCCCTCCCCGGGAGTCCCGCTCCGGGGCTGCCGAGCCCGGACGGGCGGTGGGTTAGGCATGGTCCCGTGTATCCTTCCCGGAGGAGAAGGCAGCGGATAGAGCCCACCCCCGTGGCCGGAGCGGCTTCCTTGCCGCCCAGCCCGGGGATGCGGGTGCTTCCCCCCGCGCTCGGCGCATCCCCGGGGCCAGCCCGGCTCGGAGGGGTCACCCCAGGTACGGCCGCACCGCCCCGACCCCCGCTCCGGCACGGGCAGCCCGGCCCTGCCTCTCCAGGGATCGAACCCGGGCTTCGTCATTGCTCCTGGAAAAAAGGCAGCGGCGTTGTGTTTCTCCGTGACATCCCGCTCCTCCTGATGCATAGGCCGGTTTTCCTTGAGGAGCCGCAAAATCCTTCCTCTCTGCGGTTCGCAGCACCGCAGACCTCCCGAGTGCCACCGCGGCCTCCCCAGCCCAAGGTTTCATCCCACCTTTCTGTAAGTGCGCGATGCTGTCTGATCCTTGGGATTCAGGATACTCCAAGGAAATTCCCCAGTAGAACAGGTCAGGTTGGTGGTTCGGGATTTCTATGGTTCTCATAAGCAGATTTATGCATCGGCTAAATCTTGAATTTCCTACTCCTGGAACTTCAACGCACTGGATTTGTTTTCAGGGTGGGTGATCTGGTCACAGGGGCCATGGCCCTCTCCTGATTTGCTTTGTGCTTTTCTCCAGGTTTTCCAGTGAAGGCGCCAATGGAAATGTGGACCAACAACACTGAGAGGTTTTACCGGATTCCTGAAGGAAAGGGGCCACACTCGGTCGGATGTACAGACCTGATGACAGAAAATGCAGTTGAGGTAAAGCTCTTGATTCTTTCTCTTTTGGATTTAAGCCACAGTGTTAGTGAAACAACTTGCTGTAGTTTTACAGAGGAATCACACAGAAGGTCTTGTCTGTGTGCTCCATGCTGACACCCACAGCTGAGCTTTCCATCCTCTCCATCCTGGTGTAGGATGTGTACTGGGCATTTACTAGATGGATGTAACCTGCAAGCTTTCCCCATGGCCAATTCCTCCCTCCCCCTAATACCCTTTTCTTTCTGACTCCTCTACTCAAGGTCCTGCAGAGAAACTGTGTCCTTCTGGGACCATGGGGTTCTTCCCACCCACCCCACCACTCCCTCCTGCCCTGGGCTTCTGAGGAGACTCCACATGCAGTCTCTGTGACTGTAGCTGTTCTCATCACAAAGGTCCCAACAGGATTTGGCAGCGTTGGGAGATGAGGGTGTGCAGTGTTTCAGCCGCAGGGCCAAGCGTGAGATGTCTTTTTGAGATTTTATCTCTGTTGAGAAGAACAGGATGTCAGTTCTATAAGAGGTTAGAACAGTGAGAAGCCACGATAAGAAGATGAGCACAATAAGTAGATAAGTAGACAAACGATCTCGCTTGTGGGTTTCTGTGTCAAATCCTTTTGCTTCTTAGACAATACACCTGCATTTACACTGTGGTTTTACTCCTCAGACTAGCCATAGTGGAGCTTGTGATCAGTTCCTAATGGTATTAGCAAAAAGCAGCGATTAGTTTCTCTTTGCAATCAGCCCGTGTGTTTTTGTTTAGATAAGCATTCTGAGCAATTACAGTTCTCTCAAGCGTAGATAATGAACGTCTTTCCTTTTCTGGTAAGCAGTTAGTCACTGGGGAAGTTCACTGGGATTATTTTGAGATCAAGTTAGTATCTTTACCAATATGGAGAAAGGTTCTTCCTTAATGGTCTTTGTGTCAAAGGTTGGTTAAACTTTGATGAGTAAATAGAAACAAGCTTTATTAAACAAGCTTTTGGTAAACTGATACATTAGTATTCAAGAAATCAGGCTTTATTCTAAAGCTCTTGTTTATTTTGGCCCTAATCTTAACTTGCTAAACCAAAAGCACAGTTGGAGCAAGACAGTGAATTTGAGTAGTGTGTCGCAAATTCCCTTGTAAACCAGGAAGTAAGAACGCAGATTACACAAAGTTTGTCTGCTGGGAACTCTGCTTTGAGGTGTGCCATTGGTACATCGCTGCTGTCTGCAAAGGAAGAGGACTGACAAGAGGGTGTGGAGGATCCATATGAGTGTGGAAAGCTTGGGTGCTTTCCTGGGAGACCTGGAGTGCAGACAGTAAAAGAAGATTCAAACTGGTTGTAAGAAACAGAGGCAGATAAAAGCACAGGTTAGCAAAGTTGTGTTTAGGAAGGTGGACCATGGAGACTTGTAAACATCTTGTTGAGGAGGAAGAACAATATATTATGTTCCCTTGCTGTGCAGCTGCCCAAGAGCTTCACAGACAGCCTCTGCTCAGTTTAGCCAGGAACACTATAGCCACAAGACCATGCCCCTGCCACGCCTCCTCTGCTGGACCACACTTCCAGAAAGTAGTCCAAGGGTAAAATCTGTCTTGCTAACCTAGTGGAACAATATATGTCCGAGAGGGTTCTTCTCCCCTCTCTCTGAGTTTAGCAAACTCAGTTGGGTCAGTAACAGCTCCATGAGACTCACTGATGCAAGGAAAGCAATGACAGCTCCCAGCTGGAAGGGCGAAGGGACAAAGTCATATAATCATGGAATCACTGAATGAATGGTTTGGATCGAAGGGACCTTAAAGATTGTATGTCACAGGCAGGGACACCTTCCACTAGGCCAGGTTACTCAGGGCCTCATCAAACCTGGCCTTGGACACTTCTGGGGATGAGGCAGCCACAGCTTTTCTAGGAAATCCGTGCCAGGGCCTCACCACCCTTACAGTAAAGAGTTTCTTCATAATATCTAATCTAAACTTGCCCTCTCTTAGTTTAGAGCCATTACCCCTTGTCCTGTCAGTCCAGGCCCTTGTCCAAAGTGCCTCTTCAGCTCTCTTGGAGCCCCTTTAGGTACTAGAAGGTGATCTAAGGTCTTCCCAGAGTCTTCTCCAGGCTGAACATCCCCAGTTCTCCCAGCCTGTCATCCTAGCAGAGTTGCTCCAGTGAGAAAGATGGAAGGAAAGATCCAGCAAGATGCATAAATGGAGCAAATAGGTAGTGAGTGTTTGTAAATTATTAACTTAGTTAAAAGGAGCATTTTGAATTAGCCACAGGCTAACCTAGGGAAGGTGATATGCATTTCTACCTGTGAAAATGTTCATCTCATGCTACTTTAAATTGATGTTAGGGACAGAAAGTGAATTGGCATCAAAGCCTGTATAGGATAATGATTTTCTCATGAGATTCTCTTAAATCTCTTGAGCTGTCATTCTTGCATCTGAAGCCCTTTATATAAATGATTTTATCTTCCTTTTTCTCTTCCATATATAAAGAAATGCCAATATTGCTTTTTCTACTTTCCTCCCGATCCCAGGGAAGCTTCTTGCGCCTGTATTACCCAGCATGTGATGCCACAGATATCGAGGAGGCACGATGGATTCCAGACAAAGAATACTACCAGGGCCTCTCTGACTTCCTTAATATGTACCGGATTGTAGGAGAAAGGCTTTTCCATTACTATGTTGGTAAGACTGGTTCTGGTTTTATTCCTTGACTGTGCATGAGCTCTGCTTGCAGGTTGCTGCCTTGCTGCTCCAAGAACAGGGTGGTATTGCTGGACTGAGAAATATATTTTAGCAAACAAGTGTTTTTGTGGGATGGGTTTGTGTAGGGAGGCTCAATGTTGAACGTGACCAAGCTCTCAGGTAGTCCCTGACTGCTGTGATAGGAGTGTCTGGGCAGTTTGCTTTAGGAAGAGCCTGGGTAAGCTGCACATGTGTGTCGGGAGTTAAATCCCCCAGGGGAATGTGGGAAGATGTAAAAGTTGGAGAGATCCTAAGGTCTGAATACCAGCAAGACTTGGATGCCTGACTGTTAGGTTTAGGAGATATGTAGACCTTGTGCCAGACTGTGGCTGGGAACAGGAGAAGGAAAGTATCTTCTGCCAAGTAGAAAGTATTTTCAGAATCAGATCCAGATTTGTCTTGTGTATTTTAAAGATGAGACTTGGTACCTTATCTTTAGGTGACTGCTCTGAAGTCAGTGGTCACCACATCCTTGGGATCTCTCCCACAGGAGCAAACACTTTCTCTCATTTCAGTAACAGTGACATACACTTCTGTTTTTATCTAGGTTCAGTGACCTGTCCTGCAAAGTCAAATGCTGCCTTTAAGCCGGGAGAAAAATATCCACTTCTCATTTTTTCCCATGGACTTGGAGCTTTTCGGTAATTCTGCAGTTTGTTGGCAAACTCTCTTTGTCGTCTATGGAGACAACAGTTACCAAGGATGGTTTTGAACAGTTTTTTAGTAGGAGGGTGAGATCCTTGTGGAGCTGAAACAGATTTGAATAACAGGCTGCTGTGTGTTAATAGCCTCCACTGAAACAGCAGCAGTAAATAAAAGCAGGGTTGATGTATTTTTGATCGTAAAATCATAGAATGGCCTGGGTTGGAAGTGACCTTAAAGATCATCTCATTCCGATCCCCCTGCCATAGACAGGGACACCTTCCACTAGACCAGGTTGCTCAAGCTCCATTTGTGTTTTCTCTTTGTATGACAGGGGTGAAGGTATCTACCAACCCATAAGCACACTATGAAGACTAGCTTGTTGATTTTTGGACAGCTCTTTGAAGATGCAAAGTGCTATATGTACTGCTTATTAAAAATCAGTAGCATTTTCCTTTCTGAGTAGATAGTGAAACAGTACCAAGGTTTTGTGAACAGGCTTTGGTACCTGGCACACAAAAATCTGCTCTGCTGGGTAGCAAATTCAAACAGAAGGAAATACCGAGTGGGGACTAGCACATACATGGTGTGGTCAGCATTTAAAAAGCAGTGGAGTTGAAAGAGTTAATGACTTACCAGAGTGTGGTTTTTATTGCAGGACAATCTATTCTGCTATTTGCATAGAGATGGCTTCTCAGGGCTTTCTAGTGGCTGCTGTGGAGCACAG